ATCAGCTCTTTTTTTCCCTCCCTTCCCCCACCAGATGTATATATTTTTAATACTAATTGTTAACGCTGCACCTTAACCAAAAAATGTTCAGCTTAATTGTTCTGAAGAAATCCCAAAAGGTCATGGTCAGACTCTGCTCTCGACCAGGATTAAGATGTTAATTTGTTTTTCGCTGAGTCTGAAATCTTGGCAGTGCCTTCTTCAGTCCCAGGGGAAGTATAGCTTTGCTGGGGTCTCTGTTTTGCCCAAATGAATTCCCTAAGGAGAGATTGGGGAGAGTCCTTTCGGGTTCAATCATGGGTTTTATTACAGTTGTGGGAAATGTTGGAGAGAAGAGTTTTCTCCACAACCCTTTATTTTAGACTTGGGTGAGTAAGCCAGCAGGTTTTCCTAATTATATCCCCTTTGTGAATCTTAGGGCCATAGTCTCGGGGGTTCTACCAGTCTCTCTGGTCACTAAGTCTGATTTTTTTTATGATTTTGAATTTTATTCAACATTTTTCACCTTCCTCCAAGACCTTCTAGAATCAAGTGTGATCCCTTTCAGGGCATTTGGGAGTGGTGCCACCTGAAGCTGTTAACGCATTGGGAGATGATTCTCCTTAGACACACACCACCACCACCCAGCAGCTTTTCCAGGCAAAACCAGAGCCGGTGTAGGTTTCATTGTCTTAGGGATCCAGCTCTGCCTTCGACTTCTTATTAATTCACAAGTTGAACTAGACCTTACAACATAGTCACAGCCAGCTAATGTTTGTTTGACCCAGCGGGATGCTAGTTGCAAGCACTTAAATGACTTGATGTACACAAATCATCATTACATCCTGTGGAAGCTGAGATAAAAAGAGGAAGCATCCTGCTTGCAGGTACACAGGTGATTGAAGCCTGGAGCCGAGACTCGGCTCCTGCCAGTGTCGCTGCAGAGGCAAACCCACGGCTAATCTGCCGTACTTCCGTGGGCATGTTGAGCCTGTAGGACTCGGCTTTTTCTCTGAGTGACAGGAGACCAGTGGAGGGTAGGGAGCCAGTGAAGGACACAATATGGCTTCTGCTTTGAAAATCATGTTTCTGTGAGCCAATTTGGTTCACTAAAAAAACACACACACAATTTAAGTCATTTTGGCTTAGGATTCCCCCTCTCCCATCTCTTTATTGCTCCATTCAGCTTCCTGAAGTAGGAAATTTTAGAACAGAGTTACTACCGTGTGCCCATTAGCCCCTTTTCCTTCTCATTTTGAAGGACACCACATTCTCCTGCTTTTTCTCTCTAGCTTACTTGACATTCCTCCTCAGAACCCTTCGTGGGTTCTCTTTTTTAACGTCCCCAACTAAAGAACGAAGTCCTCCTTTTCTGGCGAATGTCATCCGGTCATACGGCTTTAAGGCCCTGCTGGCAGACTGGTTACGCATTGGTTTGCCAACCGCAAGGTCAGCAGTTTGAAGCCACCAGTCACTCCTGGGAGAAAGATGAGGCAAAGAGCGACAGTCTTTATGGTTCGCAGCCCGCTGGCCGGCCCACGGTGCTCCTTATGACTGCGTAGAAGCCTTGACAGCAGACATCCCGGCCCTGCTCCAAGTCCTGATCCGCACATGTTTCGTCTTTGTTAAGGACGATACTAGGGGAGGCTTTTGTAGCCGCAGCTTGTGGGGTTAAGGAGATTCCTAATTGCTGATGTTCCGTTTTGGTGGTTTTTCTGCATCTATTGATAGGATCACATGGCTTTTCTGTTGCTGTGCTGGATTACACTGAATAGTGTTCAGTTGTCGGGCCGGCTGGGTTTTCCTTAGAGAACCTAGGGAATGAACTCTACTTGGCCATATTGTTCCTATATAAAAGAAGCCTTCAAAATGCTTGGGAAAGGGAATGAAAAGATAACGAAATCTTTCCATGCATGTCTTAAAGCCCCCCTCAAATATAGTGCAATTTAATTTTTAATATTTTGTTGAGGATTTTTTTCCCCCATTCATCATGAGACATTAAAATAACACCTTCTCGGGGAAAACATTCATATCATGTATAGGCCTCATTATCACAATCAGATTTGATTCTGAGGACTGGTATCCTGGGCAAGAAATGCCTTTCCCCTTTGTGGGAGTTCCTCTTGTAAGTTGTTGGCCCCAGGGCCCTGCCTCTTGGAGTGACTTCTACCACCAAGTCACCATCAGTGACGGGCTCAAGTCCTCTCTCTGCCAGTACCCCACAGGCCACGTGCAGGGAATTTATCCCAGCCCATCGGTTCGTTTCTCACTCTCGTCTGTCACCTGTTGGTTGATTGCTGCTCACACGTGTGCATCGCTATTCATTTTGGGAAGAATGGACCGGGCTGAGGACCTTTAGCTCTTCACAAGCAGGGTATCTGTTGGCTTTCTTTTCTTAGCCTGTTTTGTCAGAGACCACTGGCTTCAAAAAAGTGAGTGGGGTATCTTTGCTTCCTCCTTTCTATTCCAAGAGTTTGTGTGGGATGGGTCTTCGACGTCACTGATGACTTTGCCGTCCTAGCAGCTTCCTTGCAATGGCCGTAGCAGTGAGAGAACTGTTCCGTTTCAGGGAAAATAAGGTTTGCTTTCGGATTAGCCTAGTTACGAAAGGAGGCATTCCTCTGTTAGAAGTCATTTGCCATGACTCGGTCAGGCATTCCCCCTCTGCCTCTCCCTATTCCTGACAAGACAGGCTGCGCCCAGGCCCCGCTGGTTGACATAGGGCCTATTCCCTCTTCCTTGGGTACTGTCCCGGCAGTGGCCAGGCAGACTAACTGCCTTCCCAAGAGCATTGACCACCTTCCCAGCAGTGTCTTTGTCACATTATCCTTGTTTTCCTGTTCTTTGCTGGACCGTAACTAGTAGGCCAAAGTCAAATTCCATTTTAATGTTTATGTGTTACATTTATTAGGAAGTTGGCCGTTTCTCATGTGTGTATTAGCCGTGTAGCTGGATCTTTGGATTCTGAATCTCTGCTCCAGGCACTCACTGGGAAGAAGGACGCTTGCAGTTGTACTGTAGTGAGGCTGCACCGCTTGTCCCCACTCAGAGGTAGCCGAAGTACAGAGTAACAGGACTAGATTAGCTTCCTTGTCTTTGAAATTCCTCCTTTATTGGACCATATTTTTTCCTAGAATATTTTGCTTTCGAGAGAATTTATCAGCTTGAATTTTCTACTTTTCTCGATGCTGTAGCTATATCACTGCTAGCCTGTGCTTAAATTGGTTTTGTATGAATTGTCTCACAGTTTGAGATGCATTGGAGAAGAGCGCTGAGCTTCCTTCCACGTCAGAAGCCTGCCCACGAATCCACTATGACCATGTCTGTTTGCCACTTCACAGTGAACCACGCCCACGAATCCACTATGACCACGTCTGTTTGCCACTTCACAGTGAA